ACTTTATTTGCCCTTTTCTAGCCTTCTGGAATCTCTCCCAACTTCCATGATTTTTCAAAGATGATACCTGAAGGCTCAGCTGTCTCCTCTATCAGGTCCTCGAGTATTCTAGGATGCATTTCATCAGGCCCTGGTGACTTGCAGACATCCAACTTTTCTAAGTAATTTTTAACTTGGTTTTTTAACAATTTTATCTTCTACACCTACCCCATTTCCACCAGCATTTACTATGTTAGGCATCCCTCCATCATTAATCTTCTGGGTGAAGACCAAAACAAAGAAGTCATTAAACCCCTCTGCCATTTCCAAGTTTCTTCTTGTTGTTTCTCCCGCCTCACTGATCAGTGGGCCTACCCTGTCCTTAGTCTTCCTCTTGCTTCTAATATATTTATAGAATGTCTTCTTATTTCCCTTTATGTCTGTAGCTAGTTTGAGCTTGTTTTGTGCCTTTGCCTTTCTAATATTGCCCCTGCATACCTGCATTGTTTGCCTATATTCATCCTTTGTAGTTTGTCCTAGTTTCCACTTTTTATGACCTTTTTTTTTTTTTTAAATAAAGATCATGAGTATTGGAGGGCCTGGGAGGCCCTACAGGCTTGGCCATGGAAAAAGGGGAGCTGGCCACAGAAAAGGGGTGACCCTGGACTCCATAATAAACCAGGCCCCAAGAGTTGGGGGCAAGGGCCGAGCCTGAAAACGTGTTGGGCCTGTGGGCGCAAGGGACACGTGAGGAGGGAGTGCCCCTATGGGGTGGGAGCCAGGAGGCCCCACCCAACTAAGAGGAACAAAGGGAGAGCAGCCCCGGTGAAGGTAACCGGGGAGGCACAGTTATGCTGGGCCTGTGGGGAGCCCGGCCACCTACGGAGGGCATGTCCGAGTAGGACCAGGGAAGCCCCAGCCTGCTCAAGCGGTGTTATTCTAGAATGTATTTCATCAGACCCTGGTGACTTGCATACATCTAACTTTCCTAAGTGATTTTAACTTGTTCTTTTTTTACTTTATCTTCGAAACTTACCCCTTTCCCACTAGTATTCACTATGTTAGGCATTCCTTCTTCATCAGACTTCTTGGTGAAGACCGAAACAAAGAAGTCATTAAACACCTCTGCCATTTCCAAGTTTCTTCTTGTTGTTTCTCCCGCCTCACTGATCAGTGGGCCTACCCTGTCCTTAGTCTTCCTCTTGCTTCTAATATATTTATAGAATGTCTTCTTATTTCCCTTTATGTCTGTAGCTAGTTTGAGCTTGTTTTGTGCCTTTGCCTTTCTAATATTGCCCCTGCATACCTGCATTGTTTGCCTATATTCATCCTTTGTAGTTTGTCCTAGTTTCCACTTTTTATGACCTTTTTTTTTTTTTTAAATAAAGATCATGCAAGATCTGGTCTTTTTCCATACTTTCTATCTTACCTATGCAGTGGAATAGCTTGCTTTTGGGCCCTTAATAATGTCCCTTTGAAAAACTGCCAACTCTCTTCAGTTGTTTTTCCCCTTAGTCTTGCTTCCCATGGGACCTTACCTACAGGCTTTCTAAGCTTACCAAAATTTGCCTTCCTGAAATCCAGTGTCTTTATTTTGCTGTGCTCCCTTCTACCATTCCTTAGAATCGTTAACTCTATGATTTCATGTGATCACTTTCACCCAAGCTCTCTCCCACTTTCAAATTCTCAACCAGCTCCTCCCTATTTGTTAAAATCAAATCTAGAACAGCTTCCCCCTTAGTTCTTTTTTCAACCATCTGAAATAAAAAGTTGTCTTCAATGCAGTCCAAGAACTTATTGGACAGTCTGTGCCCTGCTATGTTAGTTTCCCAACGTTGCCAAGCTTTAAACCTTTGGGCTGAATTTGCCATGCTGTCGGTTATCCCTGGTAGTGCAAGTGGCAGAAGTGTGGGTTGGATGTAAAATTTCAGCTTTGCTGATGAGCCATGTGGGCATCAATATAATGATGCAGGATGGAATTTGTTTTTTTTTTCCAGTTTGCTTTTTTAAAATCCAGGATATTACACACAGGCTTTGTGTTAAAAGAGCATTATTAAAGTTGCTAATCAAAGCACTTAGAAGTTAGGAAATGCCAGAATTAAGGTCACTTGTGCATATGCATTATGATACAGCCTTTAATCAAATGACCACGTTATTTTTTCTACAGGACTCTGCCTCATTCAGTGCACAGGATGGAGAGTTCACTTCATCACTGTGTTTTCTCCTCCTCATTCAGTGTGTGGCCTCTGTTACATCGTGTGGAGTTCCACAGTATAGGAAGCAATCAGTGGAAACAGAGAGCTTGAATAGTTGCAAGTGTCCATTTTTTGTTGTTGGATATCACAGAACTAACTTGAACCAGCCCAAACCAGCTGGGCTGACCCCAGTGACCTAACTCAGTTACTATAACAACAAGATCTATATCTACAACCCAGTACACAACAGTCTCTGACCTTGGTTACTCTCACTAGTCAAACCCTCCTCTAATGACGGAACTGTTAATCTTCTCAGGGGCTTTTCTGTCATGCTCGGCACTACACTAGCTGTGTGTTTAATAAACATTCCTGATCTTATTTTCACAACACATCTCTGAGATGAGGGGGTATTAGTCCCCTTTTACAGATGGACAACTGAGGCTCAAAGATTTAAAATCAAAAGTGTGGACCAAACTCAGGTGTCCAGTTTGAGATGCTGAGGACCTGATGTGCAAAGTACTTAACAGTATAGTGCTTCGTATGTTCAGAGCACAGCTCCCATTTACTTCAGTTCAGCTGTGAGTGCTCAACACATCAGCAAATCAAAAGAATGGCCATACTGGGTCAGACCCCACTGGTCCATCTAACACTGTATCCTGTCTCTTAATGAGCTGAAACTAGAGCCTTCAGTGAGAATGAACAGAACAGGGCAATTTATCAAATGATCCATCCCCTTTTGCCCAGTTCCAGCTTCTGGTGGGTTTTAAGACACCTGAAGTGTGAGGTTAAGTCCCTGACCAGACTTGCCAAATAGCCTTTGATGGACCTATCCACCAAAACCTTACCTAATTCTTTTTTGAACCCAGTTATCCTTTGGCCTTCAAGGTCTGGCAATGAGTTCCACACATTATCTATATTCATGATTTTATATTTCTCATATCCTATCCCCCTTAGTCATCTTCTAATTTGAACAGACCCAGTTTTTTTTATCCATCCTCAGAAGGAAGCAGTACCATATCCCTAATTAATCCTTTTTGTTGCCCTTCTCTGTTCTTTCTCTAATATATCCTAATGTATCCTTTTTGAGGTGGCATGACTAGAACTGCATGCAATGTGAGAAGTGATATTTTCTGTCTTATCTATCCCTTTCCCAATGATTCCTAACGTTGTTTGCTTTTTTGACTGTTGCTGCATGTTAAGCAGATTATCTGGTTAAACACTGGAAAGTTGCTTAGGGAGGCTGTAGAATCTCCATCTCTGGAGATATTTAAGAGCAGGTTAGATAGACCTCTATCAGGGATGGTCTAGATCATAGGTTCCCAAACTGGGGGGTGTGAAGAAATTCCAGGGCAGATGCGAGGCGACCCAGCCTCCCCCTTCAATTCCCCCCCAAGAAAGACCTCGGTCCATCCAGTAAAATTCAGAAATTACCATGTGAAATGTCCAGTATTTTCTGTTTTTCCTGGCTCTGGTGTCCACTGGAACATGTGCAGCTTGGTTTAGCTGGGGCCTGGGGGAGGATGGAGCATCCTGGGCAGACTTCAAAATGTCTGCCTTAAAAGGGCAATACCTGCTCTGCTCTTAAAAGGGGGCATGATGCTAAAAAGTCTGTGAACCACTGGACTGTAGATGGTATTGGGTCTTGCCATGAGGGCAGGGGACTGAACTCGATGACTTCTCAAGGTCCCTACCAGTTCTAGTGTTCTGTGATTTTTAGAGAACTGTCCACAGTGACTCCAACATGTTTCTTGAGAGGTGACTTGCCTGAATCAAATGCTTGGTTATTTTTTTCTCAGTCTTAATGTTTCAATAACACTAGTGTGATCCGTTAAAACACTGCTCCAACATTTGAAAATCTAACAATTGGACAAAGGCAGAGAAGAGGTCAACTGCACAAACTTATTTTTGTTGTTGATAGGTATTCATTATTGTACCATGTGTGTCTTAGGAGAGAAAATACTGTTTCCATCTACATCATTAGCATAGAAATCAGCTCTACTTTGGCAGGAATTCAGCAATTCTTCTGGTTGCCAGGTGGGCCACCCAGTTCTGATTGTATTGTGTGAGATCCTTCCTGTCTTGTTTGCAGATCCTTGGGTTCTGATTACAGCCTCCCTTGACAGTGGTTTTTGGAATGTGTGAAAACAGCAGAGCGCTGCTCCTAGTTTTTCTGCCTGTGAGCAGAAGACAGGAAGCTGCTATTATATTTGCATTTCACCTACAATTCATATGCATCTAACGTGACCATCTTAAAGAAAACAATATAGCCAAAGGCTGTTGCCTGCACCAAGAACTCTTATTACCTGTCCATTGTCTTTGACTTAGTAGGTGAACAGGGGCGGATGAGGATTTTGCGGGACCCATGGCAGCACAATTTTGCAGGGCCCCCCTTTTGACACAGCGCATGCGCGTTGGCACCATGGCGCATGCGCGGGGCTTCTTGAAGCGCGGGGCCCATGGCAGCCGCCCCGCTCGCCTTGCCCTATATCCGCCCCTGTAGGTGAAGATAGAATTAAATTGCAGCTGCAGACTGGAACCCACTCCAACTGTGGGAGAGTTGGTTAGGAAACAAACTCAAGCTTGGGTCCACCTCTAATTACTGTGAATTATGCATATAATCAATTAATCTCTCTGGGTTGCATTTCTTCCTGGCCCTTTTGCATGGATACAAGGTGTATCACACATACACTGGCTAAACTGAGTTGTAAAACTTTGGAGTTGGAAATTGAGAGGTTTGCCACTAGCCTAATGGAACCAGGATTCACCCTATGATTGGCTTCCTTCACTCCCTCCACTGTAACATCACTCTGTTTTTCACTTCCACAGAATATTCAGAAGATGCTTGGCCTGGCTCCTTCTCGGGCTGCCACTAAGCAGGCTGGGGGTTTCCTTGGCCCCCCTCCTCAAGCCGGGAAATTCTCTTAAAGTACAGTCATGCACCTTCCAGAGCAGCTCCCCTTGATATTGGTATCAAAGACAGACTGCTCTTGGTTTGTAACAAGATTGGATTCCACAACTGGCTTTCTGTTCGCTTGAAGCGGCTTTTTGGATGAGTACTGCCTTCCCGGAAGCATTTTTGTATTCGGAGTATTCTACAAGCACCTTGTCACCATTGAAACAAAATTCTTGGCAGGTATTTGATGTCTGTGCAATAAAGGATCAAGCCCCTTGCATTTACAATGTAGTCACCTAATCACATTGCAGGGACAGAGGAACTGTCTTGCTTTGCAAAACTACTGCAAGGATAATAAAACCTTATTGGGAGCCATCATAGAGAAGGTGTGTCAGATGACAAGGATCTGCAAAATAAACAGATGTTTGGACATCCCTGTACCATCATGCTCTAGTACTAATTGTGTCCCCATTCTCTTAGACAAATAGGCTGGAGACCTCTATTAGGAACTCAGCTACAGCAAAACTCAGCATGTTCAGTTCTGTTCACTCTCAAATGTGTGTATGTGAAAATACATCTAAAGCTGCAGCTTGTTTCCTTATTGGTGCAGTACTCAGGTTACGGTGCCATGCTCCAGTTGGAGCTTTGTTGTGCTGCTTCTGAATAATCCCCTCCTCCTCCTGAGGAGTTCAGCTTGGCATTGGTTTATGGAGCATTACACTGCCTATGTTCCAAGTGTCTGCTCAGCTGTAATCTATTCAATGGTAGTCATAATTTGAAACAAACCTGGCCTTTAGACTCACTTTGATTCAAGTTACATAACCTCTTATTTGTTTTTGTCGATACCAGCTGCACCTACTCTTTAAGCCCTGGGGTTATGGTGTACACACACAGCATGTACTAGACGTTGAATGCTACTGTATTTTCAACTTGAGTGATCAGTTTCAAAGGTCTCAACACTCAACCTTGGAGCCCAACTCACTTTACGAAGCTAAACTTTTATTGGGTTCATAATGGACGGTACTAGAGGTACTGAGAGGTGGAATGGCTTTAAATATCATCTCTGCTCTTTTTACCATCACACTTTATATACCACTCCCGAGGAAGAAATCTGCCTGTTTTTTGGAAGCATTTACATGGCACCTATCATTCATAGTACTTGGGCCCTAACAAGTGAACTAATGTAGGCTATGTCCACATTACAGAGTTTCTCTGAGATGGAGCTATCCTGGAAAAACTGCCATGTCCAGGGAAGCATCTGCTCTTCTGAAATTTTTTTTTGGAAGAGCAGCCGTGCTCTTTTGGCTCTCTGTAACCCTCATTTAGGAGGAAGAAGAGTTGCTCTGAAAAAGGGGTTTTGTTCCGACATTTGGCTCAGTGTAGACTGGCCAACTGTTGGAAAAGCTGCTTCTGAAAAAAAAAAGGCAGAAAAGCTAGGCCCAGTGCGGTTTGCAACGTGCGCACCTTTTGCCTGACGCCTAGCGGGGTGGGGACGCAGCCTTGATAATGGGCCTGAATTAAATGCAAGACCACGCGTCTGTGGCAACCTGGGGCACTAGAGCTGCATGAGATCCCGGCCCCGGAGCCCTGTCTCAGGCTGCCTGAGCCTCTCTAAGCGTCGTTTCCAGC